TCCATCGCTCCAAAGATGCATTATCTTCCGCGCAGAGGAATTTAATGTACTTGGTGGATTTGGGCTGTTGCAGTCGTGGATGCTTTACGGCAAAGCAAAAGTCGGTAGGCGCTTTGTATTTCTTTCGCCAGCCAACGCCATAATAAACCTGATTAACAATTAACGAATCCTTTATAGAAATCGACTTGCACGATATTGATGGATGTAAGATTTTATAATAAATAATAAGAAAAAGATCATATAATCTCATAAGATAAAAAAGGTATAATAGATACACGATACTTGCGATTTATTAAAAATTATCTAAAATAAGAATAGAATGAATAAAGCATATTTGAGATCAGTATTATTGTGATGTATCGCTGTGTGAGAAAGAGTGTATAAAAAATATGAACCTGATTAACGTCGAAGGTTGCCAGACAGACGAGATCTCGAGCAGTGCGTGCCTTTTCCTTCGGCCAATAATAAAGACCGGAGGCTCGTAAAATAAAGTGATACCTCTTCCAACCCTTCTTGCTGTCCGATTTCAAGTACAGCGGACCCTCGACCTGGAAGCAAATGGTAATCGATGCAGAGGAGAAGTGGAATATATGTCAACGAACTCATTGCCGTCGTTCGGTTCGGTTGCCAAGACGCAATGAGATCGTAAACACGTCTCGCTTACCTCGGGTACGCCGACGTTGCTGCTTGAGAAGAACTCTTCTAATAGAATATTTCTCGAGTGGTCGTCGTACTCGCTACCACCGCGATCTGTGGGACCGAGAAGGAATCGTTCGGGTGTGAGAAATAGCTGTGTTTTATCCGGTCTCTCGACGAAAAGTAACTTGTTTTTGGAATCCCTGGTCCATAGTAGAAGATTTTCCACCAATAATTCGTGGTCCTCGTAAACCCTCTCTGAAAGTTTCATTAATATCTCATTACACATCTTATTGTTAGTCTGCAGGTCGATACCGATAGTACAATAAAATCATTTCCTGAGGCTTACAATGTATCCCTTTCAAAAAAAGTTCTAATAATGTAAAGAAAGAGAGTAAATATTATTCTCACTATTAGATATAATGACACTGAATATCATTTAAAAGTGTATAATATAGTTTGTACATTATACGTCTTTAATTTTATATTGATAATTTTATAATATATTATATATAGAATTTATCTAATATTTCTTTTAATAGTACCTTTTATGTAAATATAAAAAAGGCATTTTAAACACTAGGAAATATCGATTAAAAATGAGGATGTCAGCATTAAAAATTAATGTCGCGTGTAAATATTGTCTGTTGGAGAAGAAATGTTGCGTCACTAGTCTAGCAATTAGCGGTCGGCAAATAGAAGATAATAGACTCACCCATGAAGAGATCGGGCAAGTGCTCGACCACGGCCCACTTCGGATCCATTGGAACATGGTTTTTGTCTGCGAGCAACCTACACACATGCGCGACGCTCATCCCTTCGTCGACCAAGAGGCTTTTACCGCTACCGTCCAGCGTAAACGCTTTGATGAAGAGCTTCTGTACGCTCGCCTCGCGCATCTTCTCCAGCGCCAGGCGGATTTTCTCTGCCTTCGCTTTACTCGCTGTATCTGAAGAGATAATTACAAACAAAATTACTCAAGAGATGCACAGACTGGATATAAATATAAATACAAATAAAAATAGAACAAGTAATATACTAAGTGAAAATCGGCTGGAAATGCTCAACATTTAGCGCAAATAAACGAAGAAGGCTATATTCGGTCAAAGCGAGTTCTTGATACTGAATAATATTTTTGTATGAATATTTACAATCTTCAGTTCGAACAAACTGCGCGCCAATTATTTATTAGCCTTGAAACATAATCACTAAACTGAAGCTAGAGTATGTAATATTTATAATATAAGTTAAAAATAGAAATACTTGTCGTTCAAGTAGCTTAATCAAATAAAATGTGCATACGTGAAACAAAACGAAAGTTTGAGAAATCGAAATTTAAGTATTTAAATTGATCTCAATTAAAACGATTACTCAATCGGCATTTTAAAGTTATCGATCGCAAAATAAATTAAAGTAAATTACTCACCGACAAACTGGTGCGATTGCTGCTGAGGAGCTGTGTGCATGGCGGTCTGAGGTGGCTTGTGTCCGGAACCACTACTACTCGCCGAACTTTCGCTGGACAACATGGACACCGTGTCTGAGAACGCACTGTCATTATCAGGACTATCAGTGCGCATACCTATAACAGGATCAAACGTAAACACGTATAAATATAAAATATTTTAAACTTTACTATGTCTTACGAATGACGTATAATTTATAAAATTAATAAATAATGTAACATAATTAAATATAAATAATGTAATAATTCATAATATAAAGTAGATTGCTACATACAATTTGATCAATAAATCATTAAAATTGTGTCACAATATGTGATTAATATATAGTTAGAAAATTTCTTTGGTATTCAAACACAAACCTCCTTCATTTTTGATGTCAGTATTGTCGCCTGGGTTGATCCTTGCGCTGGTGGGTCGTCCTGGCCTTTGTGAATCTGGTGCGGGAGTAGCGGCGATGTCTCCGTCGCAACGTCGCTCCAAGGCGCACAATTCACCGAGGATCGCATCCAGGTCGACATCCTGGGAATCTATAAAAAAAAGTGCGCATTGCATATTTTTCACTTAAAAAAGAGATTAAAAAGTACATTGCCATTCTATAATATAGTGAAGAACAGTACATAAAATTTTCACAGATTTTTAACATTGAATTATTAAATAAAAAACTATATATTTACAAATTAAAAATTTATACGGCTTTCGAAATGTTGTCATATCAAAACTCTTTAGTCTTCGTTTGTAATATTTTCAATATACTTTGAGATTGTATCATTAAATTTGTATTTAGAAATATAGATTGACTACAGAATACAACGTTAAGATATTTTATTTTCCATTATTCGGCATCATCTTAAATCTGCATTATCTCTTTACGATTAATCAAAGACTTTTCCACGATTTCTCAGGAAATCGTGAACGTAAATTCGAATGCACCTTGTCTGTCGTTATACGCGTTTACGTCGTGCACACCACGTCATAATTACCACGTATCGCTATCAGTATGTGATAGCATGTATACACAGAGCTCGTCGCAGCAATTAGCGAAATTAGCAGTCCGACAATTCAGCCGAGTATCTCGCACGCGAATATCCTGGTGTGTACAATGTTACGTACATACACCGCTCGAAAAAACGGGTACGATAATCTAGCCAGAATTCTACTAAGCTTTTCTCAATCATGTGATAACATTTTATCATTTGAAATCTACAGAAAATATATTTTTATTTTTAGAACAGCTAATTATCATCGATCAATTCGTAGTGGAAATAATTATCGATAAATTGAAAACAAATATACTGTTGTATATCAATAGTATTATTTTAATTAAAAATAATACTTGTTAATTCAATAACAATTCTATTAATGAAATTAATACATCACGCTCTTATTTTAATAAAATTTGGTTTGTTTCATTAATACTATCATTGTAATTCTACAAGGTAATTTTCCATTAAAATAATATTGACATAACATCATTTATCTCAGTGTGCAACGAAGGAAACAATTAAACTCGTATACGGTTAATTTAAATGTAAGAAAATTATGTAAACATCAAAATGTAATCGTGAAATACTCGAAAGTAAATAAGGAAGAATAATACAATCGAAAGATTATTTCGGTTTATTTTCAACTAAAACCGAAGCGCATACAGTCGTACTTACTTCGCGGAATGTTTCATAATCACGCTGAATGTGAGTAATATCAGTAGTAATATCAATTTGTACAATTCACGGTAGGCGTGACACTTTGTTGCAAAAGAGGGAGCGAGGACACTGAAAACGCTTCTCTTTTGCTTCGCTGATACCGCAAGTGAGTGTCAGATCGTTACGAAAAAGTACGGCGCGACGTGATTAATTGATAACGTGCGAATTAGTGTCAAGACTACTTTCATGACCAACGTAAAGTGACTATGGTGAGGCTGACAGTTTCTCAGGCTCATCGAGAAGATTATGAGCATACCACAGAATTTCCTTGTAATTTTATGTAAAGTATTCATCAGCCGAGGTGATTTAGAGTCGAAGAAGATTTACGTAATAGATCGTAAGATCAATAAAATGTTTAAAAACCATTGTAAGAAAGAACACGTTATTGTTGCAACTTCGATGACCTTAGATAACAACATGATGATATAAAATAAAATAATATTATATTTCAATAAATCAATTTACATTATATTTAATATCTCGAGATAAGAAACTGCGCTACTTCAGCGTTTCAATTTGATTTCTTGCTTTTCTTATTTAATCAATCAGTCCTGATATGAAGACCTCAACAAACAATGGCAGTACAAACAATGCTTGTTGCTCTTTAACCGTACGTTCTATTGCGTCTTAATGAAAACAGGCGATTGTATATGCGTATTCCATTTAGCAGGCAACGTTTTCTGCAACTTTTCACAACACGACTCCTTGACCGCCGCAGTCATCGGCGAGTGACGTGCATCCCGTGGAATGTGAACGATATCGCCGCGCGAATCGTCACGAGCAACGCAACGTTACCGCGAAATCGTCGACGTTGCGAATGCGAAAGAGAAGCCGAGGAATCGCGCGAATGTTTATCATGCAGATTCGTGCGCCTCGAATTTCTCACGCGTTGCTTGGCGGGATTCGCGTTGTCCGCGATGGAGAAGTTCCCTTCGAGGGAACTTCGAATTAATAACGGAATGTAATTCCAGTTGATTTGCGTTGCACAAACGCAAGTTTGTCACGAATACAGAAGAAGGTTTCTTACTTCAAAATAACGTACGTAATATTAAAATTAATATCAATTTAATCCGTTTTGATTTGCATCTTCGTTAAATGCGCACACACGATGTATGTAGCTGTCACACTTAAAGTTATATATCAGATAATCTTTCTACAGTGTCTTTTTGCATTCGTGACGCATATATTAAGACGGTGAAGTTGCAATCGCGTTGTATTGTAACACCAAGCTGTAAACGTGTCGGCTTTGGAGAATTAATAAGATTGCAGATGATATGTATACGCGGGGAATTCGCATCGCGGTGCAGCGTTCCTTAAAACAAGTTACGAGGCGCGGTGAATGAAAATGAAACCGGTGTATGTATACGTGTGTGTTTGTGTGTGTGTGTGTGTAATGCACTTTCCACAGGCGCGACAACGCAAGTTGCGAGCTGCACCCGGCGACTACCGTTACGGCGAAATTACGCGTACTCTGCGTATGACTTTGTCGTGGTGCGCAGACACCTCGACGTGGATAAACCTAACCGGTCATTCGCATTCGGTGGACGACGTGGATGGGAACATGTGAGTCACGGCTTTCTCGAGTGTTCTTCGGCTATCTTTCATCGAGCGTTTTCATCGATCGTTTCTCGGATGGGAAAAAAAAGAAAAGCGGGTAAAACCCGCAAGGAAAATTTTCATCCGGCATTTAGCAGTTTGAAAAAAAAAAATAGACTTTAAAAGAAGAAAATTGCTGAAGTGCAAAAAAGTGTTTTTGCACTTTTCTTTAACAATGGAGCCAACTTTCCATTAAGAAGTGACTAATTTGAATTGATAATAAAGGAATTATGCAAATTTTTTATAAGTAATCTGCCGGAGTGTAAAGAGCGCGAAATTGTGTTTTAACTCCAGGCAAAGTTCGTCTTGGGGAAAATTTAAGTCTTGGCTTAATTGCCAAGATTCACCATAAAAGGCGAACCCGTCCTAGATAATCACAGAATACATTCTCAACTTGTGACGCTGCATTCGTGCATAAAATGCAGAAAGTATAGATAGTAATAATTCCGATTTTTTTTCCCAATTATATGTCCATCACCAAGCATTTTCATTATTTTCTCTCCTTTTGCTTTTCTTATCTTATTAAATAAAAATTGAATGAAAATATGCAAATTATACAGATTGAGAAAGTTGAATGAAAAAAATTTCAAACTGTACAATGTCTTTCATAAGCAAATTTTTATTCTTTTAAAGGACGTTGAACTTATTTCATGGACTTTGTCATGCTACTTAAAATGCTTCGTAATCGTTTTCACGGCGATAAGATGTAATTCTTGTCGTTTTGTTTTAGGTTTGTTTACACGAAATTTAGTAGCAGTTTGCACAAAGAGAATATATTGTACATTCGGAGACGTGTATCGATCTCCTTTTCTACGATATAATACGAGGGTAAAGAAAAATGGGAACTAAAGGATTGGGGAAAGGCACAATGCCAGCTTTTACGACGAGTCTCGTAGCCATTATCAGAAGGGGTCGTCGGAAAAAGATAAATGCTGGGTAAACACGGGAATGGTCGTATCTGTCAGATTTACCTTATACTAATACAATATTCCGTGCAGAAAGACGAATAAATAACGTAATAAAAGAGAATTATATATAGCTAATCTATAATTTGTGAGTTTAATGTATGTTCTAAAAAGTCTTTGCAAAAAAATTTATGAAAGATTTGTCGCAGAATAAATTAATATTTCAAAGTTATGGAAACTAAATTAACTATTAATCCCGAGAGCTTTCATACAAACTGCACCTTTTAGACTTCATTATATAAGCCTGCGAAAAAAAGAGATTAAGTACTTACAATTATGAAAAATGCATTTTTAATTTAAAACGCGGCCTAGATTTTAATTTAATCATGAAGAGATTATATATCGCTACGGAAAAAGTTTGATGAAAGTTTTAACTGGGTTCTATTATTAAGAATTAAAGGATTATATGGTGGTTCTGGACGTTACGTTCCAACATTGCATTGTCGAGGTTCGCTTTAAAAAAATGAATAATTTCATTTAAAATTCATGTAAAATTCATATTCAAATATTTCGATTATGTGTAAATGCATGCAAGTTATAAAGATAAATATAAACGGAAAGTAAAGTAAAATAATAATCGTTTTGGTTAAATCTATCGCTTCTTCTGTAACAAGAATTGTTCTAAAAGGCAGCTTTCCACTGACTTTCTAAGTCGAAATAAATTGTACCACATAGACGAATGCATGAGTGTCTCAACTCGCTAATTTACGAATTCTCGTCACACGGGCGCTAAATTGCTGTAAATTTAGTCGAGCACATTGTCGTGGCACGTTGTCAGAAAGCTGCGCTTTCCTTCGATCTGCATCAATTCTTACTGCTCATACAGCATCATAATAAATTTTTACCATGCTAATTCAAGCTAATATTCAATCACCCTTCGTATAAATGAAACAGATGCGGGTACATAAGTTGTTCAAATTTAATTCAATTTAATTTAACTCTCATCATAATTAAGACAACCGATGTAGAGTCTTATCGACATTGCAGCTAAAAAATTGCATGCGATAAAAATCATCGTTATATATAATTTTACTATCATTACTAAAATTATCACTAAATTCTTTGCTTATTTCGACAATATATCGCATTTTTGTTAACAAAAGAATCTCTCCAAGAATCTGTTGCAAGTCGATTAAATATTATTAATATTTTTTTCATTTGTTTCAAGATTTTATTATTGCTATAAATTCGAAGAAAAAAAACTTTATCTGTACCTTTGACTGTGAGGTAGCCCAATATGCTCTCGTTGCTACCAAAATGCCCGAGCATCTTCCACCCTGCCAAACGAGGCGTCGATTCTCTCGAGTACAATCTCGTTTTCCTTCCGATCGCCAATTAGCATCGTACTCCAATGAGCCTCTCATCGGAGCGAAAGAGCATCGTCACCCAATCATCGCCACGAGCGATCACAACGTCCGCAACGTTTTGCATAATCACTTTTCCATTTAACCGAGAAGCCGAGATGCCAAATTATCACAATCGGAGACAATTTGAGGTCGACATAACGCAAATTCTTGTAACTACATTGAAATATCTATTTTTTTTTTGTTTAATATCGATTATTCAAGAACGATAATAAAAGACGTCATTTTTAATTATTTTCCCACGATACGAGTAATTCTTGAATAAAATACCAAGCGTTGAAAGTGAAGAAGTTACATCGCGACGAGAAAGTCAGGTGGACGCGGATTTTCAGAGGATAAATATATTCGCGTCATGATTAACTGAAACTTAATCAATATTAAATTGTGCTGCTTTATCTATATTGAAATTGTGATTACAAAAAATTTTTAATCCAAATTAATTAATCCTCTGACATACAATTTTCATCTCACCGAGTAATTAAAAAAAAAAAATCTCGTACAAAATAGTTCTCGTATCATCGACTATATTTATTTTTGCGAGAAAAGTCCAAAATAAAATAATTTATATCTGCGATAAGTAAATTACGCGACGTACAGGAAAAATGGAAAGCGCACGATCCCGTTTCGACCCCCCGAAGGTGCATCGGAGGGTTGATCCCGAGTCTCCGATTGGACAGATCCACGATAATACACTGTCGACGAAGGGATCGACGAACCACACCGTGAATACGATGTGCACGTCGCGTGCGACGGCACTAGACTAAAGGCCTTAAGGTGAATATACTTGCCTCTCGCTGCGAGTTTTCCACGCGGACGCGCGTCGCGCCTGCGTGTGGGTGCCCCGTGTTTCTTTGTGTGGCGTGCGTGTTTTACGCACGTTGAAAAGGGTTGAGAGTGCACCGGTTGACTTACGCAAACGTCTATTGACTATAAATAAAGCCCCCCTTTGAAACGGCGTTTTGTCGTTGAAAATGTTCCCGTCGATCTGATCGAGGATCCGGACGTAGCGATTTTTAATCTTCCCGAACGTGCAACGATAATCGACGTCGAATTGCCGCCTTTTATATTGGTTATATGGTTATTTTACATGATGAAGAATTGTCGATATATGAGAACCTCTGTGAAAACTTCATGGAATCCGAGGAATCTCTTTGATAACGGAGATCTTGATGGTACGGGATGATTCATTCCCAATTCATCAGCAACAGGGTGCTTAATATCTCTATTAAATTTATAAAAATGTGTGAATCACGATTTAAATGGCTTTAAATACTTCCAATATAAAACTTCGTCCTGCTTCAAAATATTTAATCCGTTATCCTGCTTCATTAGTTTCATTATTGTTTGCGGGCGAATTTTGCCATCAGTGCAACGACCACCGACGCTTACTCTCTTTAATTAAACACTTGCACTTTAAGTATCGCATTTATGTCACGCGGTAGGTGCGTACGTGCACGATTATGCGTGCGAAAGGGTTGAACGCGCCATTTACTTACGCAAGCTTTTATGAACGCGACGTAAATAACGCGATGTATTCCTCGGGATAATAACATTAACGATTTTATATAATAATATTACGACGTTACACGATGCACGCGCAAAAAATTAATACGTCAAATAATATTCTCAAAGTATAGGTATTCTTGAAACATAACGGTATGTGTAACAATTGTGTTGCACAAATTGGACCGTAGTAATGGCCGAGTCTTTGATTACAACACATTGTTTAACGAGTTGAGCACAAATCGAGCATCGAGCCTGATGCGATATCACAGTACACGGATCAGAGAGTTCGTATTGATTAAAGTCTAGGCGCCGGAGTGACGATTTGATAAATGGTAAAGACGCGACATCGCGGCGAGAAACGCATCAAGGCGTTCACTCCACCGATTCGCGTGTCGTTGAGATGAGGGAGACCGTATCTGTCAGGACCAAGGAAACTAATGACCTAATGTCTACATAGTCATCAACGCAAATACAGTCGTGTTGATATTGTATTCTGCAAGGGAAACGAAAGATACTGAATATCTATCTTACGATACTTCGGTTGTTTGTTTAATAGTCCATTTTGTCGTTTATATATTATATTATTGTACTATCTGTCTAGCTTTGTTAAAATATCGCAGTTTCGAGCCCCAGGCGATGCTGTGATGTAATAATAGGTGCATTCAATCGCATCTAAAGGTAAAAACCAATTACATTCGATCCAATCAGTCGCATTAAATTACTATTTAGCTCTTCAAGCTTTGTGTGTCCACGATGCTGGAAATCGCTGTGAAACAGAAAGGGCAGAAAGAGATAACAAATCACATTTGAACAATTCGATCACATGATCAATGCGATTGGTCAATTCTTTTCTTCTCTATTTAAGATCTTAAATCGATTTTTAGTATCGTAGATATCACAAAGCTTTAAAGTATCGAATACACCTAATAGGGTTCAACAGGAAAGGCAACTTATTGTAAAATGTTTTAAAATAGATAATTAGCCTTGTCATTTGAATTCCCATTGGATCTAAATGTATAAATCACGTGAAAGAATTTTACAACAATTGTAAAGCTGCTTTCTTTGAACGCAACTATTGTCGCTTTGTATGATTTTTACATATAATTCGAAATATGCATCATTTCAATTCTTCTGGACAACTTCAGTTTCGATCTTTTAGCATTCATTTCAAGCGTCCGAAAATCCGGATTTATGCACAAAACAACAGCCGCCGATCAATGCGATCGGGTGATCCGACACGTCGCAATTAATCGAGCAGAACGAATGTTTCGCAGCGGCCGACTTGGCTTTTTATCGCGGGCGAATTTCGCGCGGATGAACTTTTTGTACTTTCCCCGATCGCGATCGCGAACGAGGAAGGAAGGAAGGTTCGTTCACCCTGTCGATTATGTGAATACGCAAACGTGCTCGATAACGCAGTAACCTAGATTAATCGAGCTGCATAAATCAACCGAGCCGACACAGCGCAGCGCGCCGCTTCTTCGGCTGCAAATATTTTCGCGCTATTTTCGCAAACGCCTCCGTAGCTCCGATAAGCTCGCGCGTAAACGCCAGCTTAACTATATAAATCATACTTGGCCCTTTTGACCCGCCTGTGTGATGTAATACGATCAGTGGGTTCCATTCGACGTACTAATTATAAATTAATCTTTATGTCGCGTACTTTCCGAAGTAAAATTGTACGTCCCATTTATAATTCTTTGGACTATGCATTTGTACATTTTAAACGTACAATTAAACGTATACATTAAAGTGTTAAAATAATACTCCAGTGGATTTAAGCATTAACAGGAAAACATTTGATGAAAAAGAAATATACGAAGCACTTCGTGCAAAAGAAACGTCAAATATTAGATCACTTATTCGATGGATTATTTATAATTTAAGTTAGGTAACGGCATTTTGTTTCAGTACTTTTTAATTAAATCCGTGATATCCTGTTTTCCGAATAAAAACATATTCGGTATCTCGGTGGGAAATGCATATACGTATATTTCAGCTCTCTCGAACTGTAGATTATTAATTAAAATGTATTCTGCCGAACGTAATAATTAATGAACGCACTCCTGAGAATATTTCTATAAAATTCAATAAATATTCTCGACTGAAAATTTCTCGTAATTTTAATATTTAAATTTATATTGGCAAGCAAGAAATTGTTGTAGTTTCTCAACGATTAGAAAAA